TACAGTTTTATGTATGTAAGACGGAGAAAATACATGCGGCTGTGGCGTTCTCTTAACTTAAAAAAAGGGTCGCTGTAAATTGCGGTCAGAATATATTTGGTATATATGTAAACTCCAGCTGAGGTATAATTTGTATAGAATCAATTTATTTATTAAAATCAATATTTCCCTTCCCATTTTCAGTCTTAGGACTGGCAATATAATTGTTTTAGTATTGGTAGGTTTGGTTAAAAATATTCGTTTTGCTGTTTTTTGTTTATAATTAAAAAATATATTATTAAAAAAAAAATTGCAATTAAGAAACTGGTAAAAATATGTAAGATAATTTCCGCACTTAGTCTAACCAAGTAATTTTTTTTTTTGCTTGCAATTCATACATTATTTCATGTATAAATGTTTTTTTTTTCAGTCATTTTTTTTTTTGTTTTTTGTTCTTTGACTGCTTAAGCTGATATCTACATCGTAGATTATTAGTTATTACCAGGGCTAGGATAGTATAGGATTTTGCATTTTTTTTAGAATTTACAGGATATAGCTTTTCAAGCATAAAATGTGATTTGGTCATCTAAAAGTTCAAATATATAGTTTTTATTTTGCATATTTTTGCATTTTTTGTACTTTTTTGAATTTAGGGTCATTTTTTCAATTTTACGGTCATTTTTTTATACTTGATTGAAATCTGGGTTATATTTTTATACATTTTTAATTTTTTTAAATTTTAAATGGTCATCGTTATTGATCATTATAACTTATAAATTATTGTACAAACATATAAAGATATAACATTAAAATAAAATCATAAACATATTTTCTAAAAATATTTAATACTTCAAAATACCAATTGTTTATATGTATAATATAAAATATACTCGTTAGATTAACAGAACAATAATCGATAACAATGTTTGATTACGTGTTATCTTCATCAATTTATTATTAAATTTAACGTGCCAATACCTATTAATTATACGTATGATATTGGCCTGATGAATTTATTTGTATACTTATAAATATTTATTATTATTTATTAATTTATTAATATAATTATATTTTTTAGTGTTTATTAGGTCATTTTTTTAGGTTTTTTAGGTCATTAAAATCCTAGCCCTAGTTATTACCTATTACTAATCTTTAAATTGTACAGCCGACCGGAAATTGAAATATCCCGGGCCGCAATTTATGTATGTCATAAAAATACACGGGTCGCAATTTACGTATGTTTTAAAAGTACATGGGCTGCAATTTACATAAGTAGTATATGACTATGACCTTTTTTTTGGGGCACAATTTACAGACTCTGAAAAAAAAATTGTAACAGTCCCTAAGTACAAACTTAGATTCAATTTATTACTGGAAGTAATCCTCAATGTTAATGATGTTTATTGATATTTTTCTATAAAAAATATATTATAGTACTGCTACATACCATTATATTTTAACTACTCTATTATAAATAATTTGTTTGTAAAACTATAGTTTTAAAAGACAATACTTTAAAATAACTTAAATACTTTCTTTTTTTACCTTATTACGTTGTTTTAGTAAATATTTTTTTGGTATTGTAACGATATACAGGTTACTGACGTGTCATTTATGCCATATTTTGTGATTTTGCTTAGGTAAGAAGAACACAGGAACGTAGAGTACGAGAGTATAAATCACTGATATAGCTAGGCAGTCAAGTTAGAGACAACAGTCAGCTCTATATTTTAAGTAACATTTATTAATTTGATTCACTATAGGTATAATGACCTACTACCTAATAGATGAATCATAATATTTCAATTGCTTCAACTCGTACTCCGCTACTTTTGTGATCTTCGATGTACTTTAATAACAGGGTTACTCAGGTGATAGTGTACTGTATAATTTTATTACTATTTAATCATATAATAAACTTTGTATACGTTTTTAAATCGTTTCTATTGGATTAGCCTATGAACGCAGGTTATGAGTTTCTAGGAACCGGTTATCAAAACCGGTTCGTATAGTGGGAATAGCTAACCAACTACCCCTAGCCTCCTAGGTTAGGTTAGAATTATAATTAGATATAAATATCGATAGCTTTTTGGTTTGAATAAACGGGTAGGTGTGTTGCAGTATTTTAGACATTTCCTGTATTACAAATATTACTTTATTAATTATCATATATGTTCGGACTAAGGTCAGGGAAGGGCACAATTCTGGGGCCTATTGATTTGGAAAGCCCATCTTTATTTTAGAAATATTTTTATTTTTTATGCGTTCAAAACAGTTTAAAAAAAATAAAATTACTCTAGTAGGTAGTTAAAAAAATTATAAGATAAAAATGTTCTTAATTTTATATCACGAAAAATTACTAGATGATAATAAATATTAAATTTATATTTAAATTACCGATAACAATGTGATGAAGTTTATAAAATGGGAGTTATGAATTACATTGTACATTATTACTATTATTAAAGATAGTATCTATAGTCACGCATTATACGTTTATTTTTCTATACATTTTTTATTTATTATTAAATTATGGCTTATAAAAATAAATATTAAATACAAACACGATATAAATATATATGTTTTGTTCAACTGAACGATATTGTAAAAATAATACACCATAAACAATTTCTAAATAAATAAAGACTTGTGTAGTATACATTTTTTCTGTATTTTCAAGTTTAGTTTTTTTAATTTAATCCTTAATATTATACATAAATTGATGAAATATAGTTTTCAAACACACATTTAGATATAACAATAATAATATAGATATTACCTATAATATTTAAACAGTTCAGGAAATTTATTGAAAGAAAATATTTAATTTGTTAAAGCGATAAAAAAAACATTATATAATAATAGATAAAATTATATAACATTAAAAAATATCGACATAGGTATATTTAAAAAAAAAAAAAAAAATACAACATAATATTACATAACTTTTAATTATATTTTGAACTAAAAACGCTCTTATTCTCTTAATATTACCTGTTATATAGATTTTAAATATTAGATAAATAAGTGTCGAGTTCTTACAGTTCTTAGAAATTATTATACAAGCAGATAAAACAAATATACCAATTGCATTTAATTTTTATAAATTTTTAGTCATATTTTTAAATGGATGATTCATTAATCGAGTACTTTTATCGTTATTTATAAATTTTATACATTTATCAATAATATAATAATAATATATATTTTTGACTTGCATATAATGATGGGTCGTAAATCTAAGTTAACTCAACTACTTTTAAAGTTTTATGCATCAAAATCTAGGTGTGTCGATTTTTAGAAGTGTAATGGCAATACATTATTATTTTATATGAAAGTTAAGAATTGTAAATTTAATTTATGTATCTCTAACTATGGATTTGTTTATGATTTTGGTATCGTTTTTTATCAACGGCCACTAAAATGTAAAGCGAAAATAAACAATATATGAAACTTGCTTAAATACTTTTTGTAGATATTTCAAAAAAATAATATTTTGTGTTGTTGTTGATATTTTAATAAATTTAAATAGACGTATTTTCAATAATTAATAAGCAGTTTTTTATACTATTGTAATAAATATTATTGCATCCCAACTTTTTTAATATTTTGTTTTTGTATGGGTTAACTAGTAAAATAATACAAGCGCAATTGATACAAATTCAGACATTTAGTTTTAATTTTTTGAGGGCGAAAGATCATAGTGACAAAATTTAATATTGAAAAAAATCTGAAATAATTAATAATAGTTATGTTTTAGATAACATTAAATATATTCAATACTTCAAAAAGAAATTTTTATTACTAGGAGGTAGATAAATTATTTATTATATATTAATGTAGATAATGCAAGTGATTAACTATTGCATTTTTTTGTTAAATTACATGAATACTACATAATACATAAAAATTATTTTATTTATTATTGAGTTAAATTTATATTTGTTGACGATCATAAGTGCATTTAAATTTATAATTTGATTTATTATGGAAACCTCTTGATAAACTTATTAATATATCAACATATTGATTTTTAAGGAGTTTCAACTAAAATATGACTGTATTATTAATTTGTTTATTAATTTTAAGTGATATATTAATAAGGAATTTTGACGAAGAAATTATATTTATAAACACAATTTTTTATTGATTTTCCGTTTGACTATTGAGTTTTATTTGTTTCGTTGAATAATACGACATAATATGATATTATGTGTTTACCGTTAGGTTAAATTTATACTTAGTGGTAACTTTTTGTTTTTCAAAATAATGAAATAAGTTTGTACTGAGAACGATAAAGTAGTTCATGTATACTTTTTAATTACCATTCAAACTAATAGAGCAATAATTGACACACTTTGTCAATGACAAAATTTATTTAAATATATAATTTAATTGACTGCGAAAAACTTTTTAATTGAAAAAGTTACCAACGGCATCCATTTTTAAATACCACTATTATTAATTTTTAAGGGGTTTCATTCATAATTTATTATGTTGGTATAAAAAATTGTATTATTATTTTTAGTGATTTATTAAAAATAAATTGTGATAAAGAAATATATTCACAAATGAAATTGTTCAATGTTTGTTGCGTTTCATTTGGGAAAATATATTGTATAGAATGAGGTTAATTTTTCGGTAATAGAATTCTAATAATTTTTTTTTATTAAATGTATTAAATATGTATTTACTTTTAATTAATTAGATACAATTTTCTTGTTTGAAAAAAAAAAATTATACCAAAGTGATTTTTATTATGATATTGACGACAATTTTTGAAATTTTTGATAGATCAGTTATTGTTGGATGTTAATCTAACAGCTTTAGAGAACGTTCAAAAGTTTTTATTTATTAAATTTGGAATCTAATTATTAGTTTAAAATTTTATAAAACAGACAATGGTACCTCTCATTTTATGCTCAAATAATAAAGGTACAATATTTTTAATATAATTAATTATTCGTGTATTCTACATTGACTAAATGATATAGATTTTTTTCTTTATATTAAATCATTGATTAACGAATCAAGCGTGATCTTCTCATGTTTGGAAAAATGTTTCCCAAGTTGCGTTTGATTTTTACATAAGTCCAAGACACCATCCATAGGAGCAAAAACTTAAGTACTAGAAGTAATGGAAATAATAATAATTATTATTATAAGTAATAATTTATCTAATGAAACTTAATACTTACAATAATTGGTTATATTGATTACCATAATATAATTTGAACTATTAAATACTCCGATCCAATTATCGAAAAATAATGAATAAATCATGTGTGTTGTATGTATCAATAACCAAATAATGATGCTCTTAAGGTGTCTCTTAATCAAAAAAGGCTTAAAAAAATGTATAATGAATATAAAATATATTTAAATATAATATAACAATAATTCATTAATCATTAAAATCTATAATATTTTTAATATGTATTTAATATTTATACATAGTTGATATCTGCTACAGATATGACTTCATGACACATCTGAATACATTTAATAATATAATATTGATTTCTGATTTATTAGTATATTATCGAAATTATATGATTAATTAGTTTAAGTTTCATAAAAAATCTTATAGTTAATAGTTATACGTACACACATACTGAAAGCAGTTTTGTGTCTCGTAATTTTAATTACATTAAATTATCACTCACATCTACTTAAACATGAATTTTTAAATAATAATTGTATTATTATTATTATTTTTTTTTTTTTTTTTGATAGAATAGTCATAAAATCAGGCGCTTGGGAATTGGGTCACAATTTATTAACCTATTTTTAAAAAGATATATGGTAATTAGGCCATTTCTGTTATACCTACATTTATAATAGGTAGACCTGGTGATTGGGCAACTATTTTCAAAAATTTTTATTACTGTATCTGGTTATTGGGCCACCATTAAATTTTAAATTTGAATGAAATAATATTTAATATTATGCGTTATTTATAAATTGCTACAATTATAATACCCTTACACTTCGGTGCAAACGAAACTTTATTCGAAGCGACCTCGTGCATTATAAACAAGTTATAAATTATCCAATATTAAATAATATAGAATTAGTAAAGATAAATAATCAAAAGCGTAATTTATAAAGATTATAAAACACCGCGATCGTTTAGTTGATTGCAAACTGTACTACTCACATTTCGTTTTACAATACAATTCGGCGAATTAACAACATTTTCAGATAATATTTTTGACACTATATTTGTGACGATGCTATTTTTCCAACGCATTAATATGGGCATTACGGTCTGAATTTATAACTCGAAGTTCAAAATATGTCATCGGATCTTTTCATTCGCATTTCAAAAAAAATTTTCATACATCATATCTAAATATTTATAATTTTTTAAATGTTTTATTAGGAGCAGTGGCGAAAATAGGGGGGGGGTTTAGGGGGACTTAGTTCCCCCAGAAATGTTCAGCACTTTTAAAATTTTTTTGTTCATGGAACGTAGTAATACTGATTTTTTTTATAAATATACGTCTTGGTTTTTTTTTTTATTGGTTAGTAGCAACACTGTGTTATAAAGTTACCATCATTTTATTCTGTGTCAGTCACAAAAAATGTAGGACTTCAGTATCCCCAAAACAATAAAATTAAGCTAGTTACGCCACTGATTAGGAGTATTCTATCGGAAGTTTATATTAAAATTAAAAGCGTAAGAACAAGAAATGCCAAAAAATGAACTTCAATTAAAAAAAATTATATTCTCAATGATATAATGATTTAATAATCAAAAAAATTTTTTTTATACTATATAATTATTTATTTTATTATAAAATATATGTTTATTTTTATAAATAAGTTAAGTTTTAAGAGAAACGCGTACCTGCATAGACCATGATTGGGGGATGCTTACCCCCCTTTCTTCCCCCAAAAAAAATGATTGAATATTTTTAAAGTATTAAATAGGTACCTATTTTGCAACAATGTAAAGAAAGATTTAAGCCTCTCTAAAATTTAATCAAATATCCGCCTATGCGTATCCGTGTACGATTGAGTCTATTGTGTTGAATCTATTATAGTCTCACTGGCTCAAATTTTACGTTCAGAATTATTATCCATTCTATTACCACTATTTACATGTTATTTTTTGTATTTTTGATAGCGAATTAACTTTTTATCAAAATTTAAAATCAGAATATACCTGATAATATTCTTTGAGGATCTTCGAACTTTTTATATTTTAATTTTGAAGCAAGTTTGATTATTTTAAAATTTACTGAATGAATAACATTTTAAAATGTTTATAATTTTTTAAAATAAAATTTCGAAAAAATTATATGTCAGTTATATTTTAGCTTTTAAATTTGATAATATGTTAAATTATTTTAATTTAGACAAACGAATAAAATGGATTATTTTGAACGTAAAATTTGCTAAATTACATTGGCATGTTAGTTAACGGATACTACGAATAGTGATACTACACACTTGATAGTTTGACGTCCTCTCCAGATTGAATGGGTATAAATAACAATATATATTTTATTAAAATACAATTTATTGAATGCAACTATTTATAACGTATCATTATTAATAATTAGTATGCTTATTAATTAATAATCGTTTATAAATAATTGTATTAATATTATTGTAATAAAAATAATTCAGAAACAGAAAAATTAACTATGGAAGTTAGTTTTCAATAAAAGTTAGTTATAGATAAAGTAATAAGTTCATTAAGACCAGAGGAGTGTTTATAACATATTTTTTCATCCTTTGTAAGTGACTATATGATAGCTCATATATGAATTTAGTATTAGTTCACAAAAGTTATTAAAAATAATTAAAAATCATTAATTACAAAATCAAATTTTTTTTTACTTAATTGTATAATTACTAAATAGCAAGTATAATGTTTTAAAAAATATATATATATAAATCTTAAAATAAATGATTTATACATACAATTACAATGATTATTGTATGATTTGCAATCATGACGATAACAAATTTTAACGATATTGGATTTTCGTAAGCTTTGAGGCGTTGAATTTTCGATGAATCTGTCTTAAGTTTATTGTATTTACACAATATATGTATAGCATTAAGACGTGAAAAATCATAAAATTATTCATTGTAATTGCAGTATTTGTATTAAATGTTTGAATAGAAGCAAAACAGAAAAATTAGAGAGATGAATTAATTTTAACCCAGACGAAATCTGGTAATAAATAATTATAAATTATATATATATTGTATCAAATGTAATATTTTATTTATTAATTATACACACAGACAATAACATAATATGCCAATTTATTAGATATATTTTTTAATTACCAAATATTTATATACGTTCAGTATCGAAAATGTACCTATATATTTTAAATTGTATTTGTTTAAAATTACTATCTACATACGGTAAACACTGAGACATTATTGTACTATTTATACATTCTTATTTCAATGAGAAAAATAATGTCATGATAAGCCTAAAATAGCTTACCTTAAACGTTGTCTTTAGCAGAAAAAAGTTTGCCAAAAAAAAAATAGTCACAATACCCAAGTGAAACACCAAAATGTATATTATGAAATTATCTATATTTTCATGGGTCACAGTGTATTGTTTTGAACCCATTTTCACATCAAAATGTAGACCTATATATACATATGAAAATTTAAAATAATTAATAGTATTAAATTTTAAAACATTTTTCATTTTTAAAATTGAAAAATAAAAAAATATTTTTTGCTTTGTTCCACTTTATAATTTAAAAGTCAATATTTTGGGAGAATGTTTTTAAAATGTCTATTAACCGTTACTTTCAAACAACTATTGAATAATTGTTACACTCGTTATTAACTTTGATTATTGTTAGTAGAAAGCACAATTTATTGATAGCTTGTCACCAAAAATCAGCTGTGCATGCTGCAAGAAACATAACTAACGTTCTCAGTGATATTAGAAATTAAAGTTATAAAGTTTTTGATATAAAAAATATATTGTTGCAAATTAACCACTTGTGAGCTATGAGCGCACCTCAAGTTTATAATCGAAAATAAATGTTGGTCATCAAATATGACAAATATAATATTGTATTTAATACAACGTATTGAGTAATCTGTATAATTTTAAATCGTGGTGGAGAAAAATATGAGGCATTTTAACAATTATTTCAACAAACATAATTTATTATGAACAATAAGTTTTTTGTTTAAAAACATAACAATATAGTTGGTAAACAAGTTAGACTTACTGTGATTGGAAGAATTACGCGATTCCATTTTGTATTCAATGCTGTTCTTTAAGTTGATTATGTTTGAAATGGCAAGCATGACTAACATTGTCTAAAAAATACGAGTATGTAAATTAATCTTCATTACATACATTAATTTTCAGTTAATTTATTGTTTTATCGTTGATTTAATAATTAAAGTAGTTAATATAATATATTAAGTAAAATCAAACAGTATTATAACGTATATACAATACGAATCAAATATAAGTAGGTATATAGGTAGTAGATACTATTACTTAGTAGACTTCAATATCCATAAATATAGATACAATATCTGACTCTTAATTACGTTTATTTTGAGTGATTTGTAGATTGGAGTAATTTATAAGTGATTCATAATACTCATCATTTTAGCTTATGACGTATATGTCTGTAGTATGATAATTGATAAGTACCTAAACGAATATTTATGTGCAAGATCTAAATTTATCTGAATTTTTCGGAATTTGTATATATGATTTTATTTTTTAGATTGTGGTACCTAACTTAATTTAAAATGATTACACCTAACTTTAAAATTTACATAAGGAATTAAATTTTTTCAATATAAGGTTTTTAAATAATATATTATTATGCTCCATCAAAATAAAAATAATATATTTCAATCACATATTTTAAGCAATCATTTTCTATTGTTAGGTATGATGCATTGATGTGAGACAATTATGTCTTCAACACTTACGTAAAAATTACTTTGTAAACGTTATGTTAAAAATGGGAGACCTTGCATGATATACATAGTCTTTACATCATTTACATCACTTTGTTCACCCTCTTAAATTAAGCTCCGAATTCGCAATCGACTCAGTTGATATCTATAGGTACATTAATATACTATGTAATGATTAGCGTTCCCTCTTTTATAACGTATCTGACCCAAACTAACCCCTTTTTAAATTCAGCCCTGTTTCACGATTGGAGTGGCTGATCACTTCACGTTTACATGACGGTACGTGGACTAAGAGGAAAAATCGAAAATAAAAATATCTCATTTCGATCAGCGAACCGAATGAATGATAAAAACGAATAGTTGACTATTACATAACTAATTCCGAATATTTTAACATATATTATAATCTATAATAGTCATGAAACACGAACAATTTAAATTTAAATTGATGATGATTAAATAGTATCTATTAATACTAAATAAAATAATAAATCGATACTAACCATATTCGAAAAAGTCGCAACCGTGATAACCATATGTGGGGAACGGAATATCAAGAAGAAGTACTTCCAAGGTGATCTTCTCTCAACCCTCTTCTTGTAATCAATGAAACGTTTGATCAATTGTTCTATCATCTTTCAGCGAGGTGATGAATGGTGATTGGTTATATTTGTAGCTGTTTTCCGACAACCGCTAAACATTAACAATCGCTGTCGAATATGCAATGCGTGCCCAGAGTTCACGGAGCTGCGGCTGGGGCAATATTTTATTGATCTGAGTCTAGGTTGCCATGGTGACCGTTTTGGATCTTTTTCCCGGGAAGCCTTACTTATCATAAAGCAATAATAAAAGTCAACAATCACGAGTGTCGAAAACATGGTAGGGATGAAAGATAACATGTAATTATATATAACAATATTGTTGACGTGATCACGATTATTATTTTTCTTATATCTATATTTTTAGATTGATGTTCACGTTTTGTTTATTTATTTGTTATTGGTTATTACACATATTACGTACAATTTATAATCATTAACAATAGTTAATTTTGTTTAGTTTATTTTTGGTTATTTCCTATAGAATAATAGAATAGTATAAGTAGAGTACTTTATAGACATATATAAATAAAGTATAAAATGTATTACTTATGAGTAAATAAATAAAAAAAAAAACAAATTAAATTAAATTAATTTTATTATTTGGACAACTAAAAATTTATTTTAAATTTTTTATAATGTAATTAATAATTAATTTTATAAGTTTAAGAATGTTTTTTTTGTACCGGGATCCCTAGAATCATAGACTCAGCACACGTTCATTATTTAACATGTTTTACACACTAGCATCGGGTTTGTAGAACTTCAATTAGAACTTATGTCAAAACTTAAGCATGCTTGTTAGCGTCTAAGGCTTTTTGGCCGGCCAAATCCTTAAATTTTTTGGCCAGCTGAGTCCCTTTCTGGTTAGGTTAAGTTAGATTAGGCTTATTTACAGTTGTTTCCCGTTTATCTGCAGCAGCGGCGACGGTTAAGAAAATCCGCTCTTCGTAAATTCCCGCTTATAATATACCGAAATCGGTAAAATAATATGTAGACAAATCTGTTATCTAGGCACAAAAATAAATTTCAATATTAAAAAAGTTTTGAACTCTTTGTAACGACCGCGAGACTTAACGTTCCTCGTATTAAAAATCTAATTGCGGTAAAAACATAATACGTTATGAATGTCATGATATAGTAGCGATAAACGAATCACAATAATGATCGATCATACACAGTATATAGACTCAAATTAACATATTACCTATATAAAATCAGTTAACACGGTGATGAACTTAGCGAAAAAAATAAAATCTAGAAAAAAGCGATCGTGAACAAATATATATCGGAATGATTATGGTTATATTTTAGCTGAATCCGAAGGTAAGTAATGGAATATGATATTTAAAAAAAAATAAGTTAGTTATTTTTAAAAATGTATAATTAAATGCATCGAAAAAAAAATGTAAATAAAATAATATTTTGTAGGTGTAACAGTCAGTGACGTGACGTCTTTTCAGTTTTTAATAGTACTACTATATACAGGAGTTAAAAATTTTAATCGACTCAATAAAGTTAGCTCATATAATTGAAAAACCAATCACATTGCTCACAAACTATGTTTCACTTACATTTTCATATTAATACAGTGTCCAACTTAAATCAATTTCTATTATTGTTGCTAAAAAATCTTAATTCCAGGCCAAAAATACGTAAGAATTTAAACAATCATGGAATCTATCTCAGTGGAGTTAATTTTAGATTTTCTTAGATAAGTCAAACAAAATAAATTTTAATACTTAACACTAATGCTGAAAAGTAACTGAAAAATATTAAATACTCGGTACCTATATCTATTAAAAATATTTTAGAAATAATATTAAATTTAAATGATTAATTTGTTTTATTAATTAAATTTTGACACGTTCTATTATCCCATTTGTATAATTATAATTGACAGATTTTTGCCAAAAAATACTGCACTTATTTACAGCCAAAACGTGTAACTTTTATATGTTCTTACCTGACCTAATACGAGTACTTAAAGTATAAGACTGTAATAAAATTAGTTTTTTTAAATAAAAGTAATTTTTATGTATCATAAATACGTATATTATGATAAATTGATAAATGTTTTCTTCGTGTAAATTATTGTTTTTTATAAACATCTTAGGTATTGTATAAGGATATAAATTATAGTATTATGTAAATTAATACACAAATTAAAAAAATGTGAAATGTTTTTATACCTATTTATATTTTGTATAATTTATTTATTAAAACATCTAATTAAAATAAATATTTTAAATAAACTTCGATTTTTTGGCTAAAAATATTGAATGACATTTGCAATAATAAGTATTAGTTATTGTGTATATCTAGCAGCATTTGTAGTGTCTAACTGTATCTGGGTTTCAGTTTTTGGTTCCATTGTTAATCCGTGAACGTAAGATATTGCATTCACGTGGATTGTGATGGAGTCACAATATTGTCAATTGTAGAATTGTCAGAGACTAAGTGTCCGAGTTCGTCGTGATAAAAACGTTTCACAATGCTCAGCATGAACAAAACAATCACTAAAAATGAATAGCAATAATTATTATGAGATGATTAGGTCAGTAGACAACGGTTTCCCGATAAACGTGTTGATACATACGACTAGAGATAAGTCCAATACTCAAGAGGAATAGTGGTTGATTTGATAATAATGCCGCACAGCTATAGTAAATTAATATATGTATTAAAATCATTGAATAAATCACTAACCAATGCTTGATATTTTGAACATTTTTCTGTAAAGAAAATTTAAATTTTCACAGTACGTTATTTAATATGATCGGGATAGTCGAATTGCACTTATTACCTACAAAGAAATGGTCGAATTGCACTTGGGTTGAAAAAAGGTAATAGTCGAACTGCACTCGTTCAAAAATAGAGTTAAAATGAAAAAAACTGTGGAAACTTGTTACGAGTCGAACGTGTATAGTGAAAACCCGTTAAAAATATTGGGAATCTTATGTTTAAGAATGCTACGGTGGCCGTGCCTATTTAATAGCCTTATGTATAATAGTTTGCGAATGCCATTTAGATAACGCAGATAATGATTGTCACCAAAAATCGACAATTACAAATCGATACTTATATTTTAATTCAGAACACTGACACAAGACCATCAACAACACGGTATCAGAAAAAAATAAATTATATTGAAAAATGTATTGACTTATATACTCAAAAGCATATTACCAGGCGAGAATTTTTGAATGCAGTTTGTCATTACTACAAAAAATGATAAAAAAAAATTATTAAATTGACAACAATTAAATTTGACGATTTAAAAAAAAAAAAAATGTATAATATAATATACTATAATGTATAATAATATAATATAAGAATTATAATGTATAAATATATAATTAATATAATGAGATATATAAAACAATCATTTTAACCACGCTAATGATTAAAATCATTGTCAGTCCTAAGCCTGTAAGTGGGAAGGAAAATGAGTGTTTACTAAATGTTTAACTCCTTCAAATGTATGATAATTTGGTTGAAATACTTATTTTGAGCCCAAGTGCGATTCGACTACTACCTGCTTTTTATCCGAGTGCAATTCGACCATTACCTTTTTAAACCCAAGTGCAATTCGACTATACCCACTATGATGACGGGATAAAGGGGCTTTTCTTGGTGAGCTGTAGTTGGTAGTGGGCTGTTATTTATTATAATTTATAGTTAAAAATTATAGACATTCCTGTTTTATGGTTATAGATAAAAATATATTGAGTAGTATTGATATTGAAGATATTATTAATATTATTAAAAATAAAAGCTCAAAACTATGTACACCTTTTTTTTTTTTTTTAATTTAATATTATATTCTGTTTTATTAAGTACAAAAATAAATTATTTTGTTTAATAGTTACTAATTTGGGAGCAATATGTTTTATAAAATTCCAGAAGAAGCATGCATTAATATTCTGAAAAACTCAGTTAATAATAAATGAACAGATACAACGAAAACAATTTGAAGGTTAATCAAATAATTTTCCCTTGCCAAATATTTTCATAGTTTATTGACAAAATCCATTATACAATATTTTATCTATAGTATTTATAATTTCATTCAATAAATAAATTTAAAATAAAGTAAAATAAGAGTTGTTTTAAATATTTACTGTATCTTTATCTATTATTATAAAATAACAGAACACTAAATTACCAATATGATTGCATTTAAAAAAAATTGTGATTTGTACAAATTACTTTACACAATTTTATATAATTTTCATTAGCCTTAAACGATATAACATTTATAAAGAAAACTCGAGACAACCTAAAAAAACTATTTTTAACATTGACCTAGTACTAATCAATTTTAATTTTATAAATGGGAGTTAATTTTTAATCTTATTTATTTCTACTGTTATTACATCTTATTATAACTAACTTCATGTATTGATTTCTCGAGACAAAAGTTGAAATAAAGAAGAATAACTCCTATAAATGATGAACTTAATAAACCATAAATAGCGTGTGTTCTATTGTTTGTGTTTTCTTCGGCTCCATTATCTAGAAACAGTAAGTTTATAACTATGTGTATGTATCATTATAGGTATTATAAACTACGAAAATAAAAAAAATATTAATAGTATTAATCCAACAGATAATTTTATTTTTCTCATTAAAAGATTTTGACTATTAAATAAAAATAAAAATAAAATTTATTTTAATTTGATTATGTCAAATTAAACTAAACGATTTCATAATTCTGTGATTCATATTCTTCATTTTTTATAATGTTATTTAATTTTCGATATTTTGTAGTTTTTTTTTTTACAAATATCGATTTAAAATTATTCTTTGGTCAAGATTCTTAAAAATATATTACAATATCTCATGTTTCATATTTCATATATGTATCAATCAAAGAATATCAAGAATATAATATTTACACGATTTTTTTTGCAAGCATTTAAAGTTCAAAATTTGTCAAAATCCTAAACATTTGTAAATTATTTTGTATCTAAAAATTTATAAAATATAAAATTGTTCAACTAAAGAGAAAGGTTTGATAATTTTTAATTAACGATTTCTCAAAACTCATGACTCATGACAACCTCATGTAGTATACCTATCTCTCGATGGTACACAAAAATATTGATGAACAATTAACACTATTTTGAAAATCTTTATTAATTATAAAACAAACACACAAAAATACTCGTCTCTAAAAATCTAAGCACAAACATGTACCGTCTCTCACTCGAAACCCGCACTGTCCCTCTACTGTGGTGCTTACGTCCTTAAATATTATTTAACAAAATGCTGCCTCAGCTCATTTGCTTCGTTGGCCTAATATTACGCAATTTAAACGTTTAACTAAAATAAGTAATATTTTTTTTCTATTATTATTAACTGGCACATACAACATTCATAACTCACAAGTCATAAATAGTTAATGCTGAAATCAAAAACTTTAAAAAATACGTCGCGATCATAATTTCTTATAGCCATTTAAAATTAAAATTTGGTCAAAATTATAAATTTAAACGAAGAATAAACAATTTTAGTGTATGAGATCTTAATAGTTGTTTTGTTTTATTTCTTTAAATATAAATAAGAAATGTTTAACTAAATAAAAATGCTTGAAAATTTTACCAAATTATTTACCAAGTAAAAAATATTTAAAATTTATCTTTTTATTAGCGTTTAAGGTCAAAATATCAAAAGTTTACTAATTAATTTTTAATTAGAAATTCATATAAAATTTTCTTTTTTTTTTCTGAGATTTGAAAAATTAATACAAAATTCCTCATTATTTTTTTTTATTTGAAATAAAAAAAAAAAAAATTACTTGTAAGTCACATTTATTTTTAATGACTATTTGAAATTTAAATTTGTATGAAATTGGATATTTACTTAGATATTTTTATATTATAAATTCATATTTAATTCTCCTAAAAAGATTTCTAATATTTTGTTGTAATTTAAAATGGATAGTTGTAGATTTTTGGAATTCTCGTCGAATTTTGGCGTTAGATTACTTAAAATATGTTTTTTTTAAAAATATTTTGATGTTTTATGAGATATTTATAGATATTTGAAATATTGAATTTTTTTTTAGTTATTTCATTTTATAAACGTCTTTAAAAATTATTCACTAGGTTAAGATATAATTTTTTTTTATAGATTTATAAAAATAATAAAAATACATAAGCAAAGTTTTTTAATCAAGGTATCTGCTCAAAAGTGTTTTTTGTATACAATGATAGAATGATATAAAATTGGATTTTAATTTAATATATCCATTACAGTCAAAATTTAATCAAAATCTACTGTTTAGCAAGCAAATCATTTCAAAAAATAATAAATTCGATCACGTTATTGATAAAAATTTGTTCGATAAAATTATCTGCTAAAAATGCATACAGCATCAAAATATAAGAATAAAAATAAATAGTGTACGCTCTTACCTGAGAAAAATAATTGAACCTTTGTTCTAATTATGATTATCAAAAAAAATATATTCAATACAATAGCTAACGACCAAACGCACTGAAACAATAAAATAAGATATAAATTAACATAAATATAACTTTATAATCTACTAGGTAAATTGATGTACAATGCATGTACCTACTAATCTACAACTGACATTATACACTATATTTAATGACTATGAAGTATGAAGAGGAACTTGAAATCTATGTACCTACCTGTGAATTGTAATGACAATTAAAATTTATTATTTATTTATAATGATACACTGTCCAATTTTCCAAGATAATTTGGTGGTATTAATGTAACGTACCTACTCCGAAGTATGAACTTGTTCATTTATTATAATATTTTAACACATTTTAATCATTATTCAAGATTAAATACTAAAAAAAAAGGTTTTATTTTTAATTGTCATATGTTTGTACACGATATTATGAAGCTGAACATAAATAATATAAATCGTTGATGATGTGAGCATGCCCTGGGAGGTCAGTATTGTGGTTGCTTATGGAGCGGAATTTTTGAAATAGCCCGTATTTTACAGGATAAAAAAACAGTTGTAAGTTTACGCATTATGCACATCGCTATCTCATGCACTGTTAATAAAAGTTACAATAGTCACATTAACAGTAAACGTATAGATAAATAATACAGAAATATTTTTAATTTATGTTATACATAATGATTTTTTTTTCAATTATATGATGTATTATTGAAATTTTTGTATTTTTATTCTTAAGCATACTGAGTATGTTTAGCACGCTTGAAGAATCCGCCACTGAAAGATATAAAAATAAAGAGAGGGGTAGATACATGTATAGGCTATAAGAATTAACTCTACCTTAGATACTTTTTTAAAGATTCATTCTTGTCAATGCGTAATATTTTGTAATCTTTTAATTTTTAAAATTTAAAATAGCCGGTAAGTATTGTTATATGGTAACAATTAAAGCTTTATCTTTTTCTGATGTAGTGTAACAGCGAAAGATTGATACCAAATGGTATATTAACATTATACAATATACAAGGTGTAGCGAAATACCCTTTTTTGTTTTGAAAACAAATAAAAAAGAACAATTTTAGTAATTTAAGTAATTAAAATATATTTATACTTAATAGTTTTATACTTAGATGGTGGGACTCTATGCTAGTGCAGAATGAATTTAAGGTGATGCACGTGTTTAGCCGTCTAGAATCTAGGGTATAATATGTTATATATATATATATATGTATATTATAAGAGTAAAGTATAAATATTATAAAAAAATGTAAAACACCAATATAATACCTATATTAAATACACCTATATATCTAATTTTTATTGTGCCTTGCTAAGTCCACGGTGTTCTATAATATAGTAACCGTACAAGTGATACAATACATCTAAATGTAGGTATAACACGACTACATTAATATTATGTACTTACTATGTTCAGTATAGCTATGATTTTGATACCACTGCGTATGTTACAACATTTTTTCGAGTCCATCGTTGACATGGTATTATTGGTTGAAAAATCACAATTACTCGAATTAGTCTAATTCTCGGGGCTGAATAATATAATATGTTGGCTATAAAAATATGCACTACCCACGCATGTTAAGATTTAAAACGATGTCGACATGCCGCGACACATTTTTATAATGTGTAGACTGTAGAGCCTCAAATGTATATAAGTGTTTTATACATGAGTATTATTTTAATAGGTATTTACGCCTACCGGGTATATACCTTGACGTCAATGCTCGATGAAAATACACTTTAATGGTGTTCACGGTTCGGCAAGCGTATGATTCGAGTAATGATAAAATATATATTATCATCGGAACGAATCGAAATTACAACATTCGTGTATTAAACTGTAGTACTATGTGTGTAGATTAGTGATTTTTAAAGTCAACAGTTTTATTTTAAGCGGCTGCCTAATAATAATACAATAGACGTATTATAACGCTTGTTATGGATGTCTCCCGCCGTTCGATTTGCTATATATTTCTGTAATAATATATTTACCGCATTTTCCCACGTTCGTTCGAAAACACAAAGAAGACCTCGGTGTTTGTACTTTTGCAAGTTGCCAAGTGGTGGAGACTATGGAAACGCATGTATGTATTTGTGTACATTCTTGTTTTTAAAATAAAGTACAAACATTGTGACAGCGTCGCGAACATATAATTTATTGTGTGAAATAAAATATAATATTATGTATACTTACCTATAGCCCTAAATATGTAGTTATTTATGTTGTGTACATTCAAGGGATTTTGAAGTTCTACTCCAATTTTCTAGACGAGTTTTAATATTTTATGGTGAATCACCTAAGTAAAATATTTTAGAAAAAAAAATTAATTTTCTAAAGTTTTTTTGTTTAAATTTTAATGACGATTATTGATAATCGCAGAAAAATATACGATAGAATGTTTTTAAAGGTCAAAATAAAATGTTTAATACTTTTATTCTTCCATAAAATATTTCTCCCTAGTCATGGTAATACAAAAATATCATTTTGTGTATAGTAACTATTAAGTATTGATCTATAAACAGAAAAGTTAAATATTGTGTATTATATAATGTTAAATGTACAAATAAAATTTGTAGGTAGTACTTACAGTTTACACATTTGACAATAATATTATTCTCGTTAACTATATTTGCATGTAGCTAATATATTATAACATACAATATAATATGAGTGATTATTATTTTTTTTTACGTGATCAATAATTTTCAATCAGATCGTAAATTATAGTACTGAATAAGAAGGTATTGTGTTGCCGTGTAGATATAACGTCAGCCGCGGTGATCGGATTTCGTTTTAGCTTTGAAACACGGAACGAATAATCATAGTAAATAACATTTAGCGAAAAATATATTGTCCATAGTAGTACCTATACGTAATTTATTACAAAAGAACGATACAAAGAGTTTTTAATTCACTTAAGGCCGGTATAGCCGTATAGGTACTAGATGTTTTAATGATTAAATAATAATTAAAATAACAATAATGTTAATAACAATTTATTATTTTTATGAAAAAAAATTATGCACATAGGCACCAAAAGTACCTGAAAGTTGAATATAAGTTTAACCACTAAGAATACGAGTATTATATGTAAGTAAAATAATAATAATAATAATTTAAATTTTCCAAGTCATTGAAATCTAAACACAAAGAAAAAAGATGACGGAGTTCCGCTCGAGAAAAATGTATTTCGTGTCTTACCAGTTACCTACCTGTTATTCTGACTGTAAACAGTTTATTAATTTACAGATCATTTTTCATTTTGTTGAACGTTGAAAGGTTAGTGTTTAATCGTGTCATACGTCACGTCGTTAATTTTATTACCTAGTTATAGTTTTAAATTAAAGCATTATCACTGTTACCTTTTCGGCTTTACCTATATACTCTAAGCATTTACTGTAAATTATTCGATTTTCTGTTATACGTACCTATTATACTAAATCCCGTAATATTTTGTTTTTATTACGTGTCAACACACAAATTAATTAGATATGATATAAAAAATCGGCGATAGGAAACTAAATTAATGGTCTCATCCAATAAATTGGTAATAAAATATTATAGCACTCGTTTAATAGGTATAAAGTTTTAAACGATAGGTCATATAGCTGGTAAACAATATAAAATTAGAGTAATACTATTACATTATTTTGGCTTTAACGATTTTTCATTTAAGCTATAAAAATTCAATTTCATCATTATATTAATCTAATAAATGTGTTTTTTTTTTTACGAGTAATATACATTAAACAGCAAAAAAAGCATAGGTCAATCATAGTCAATCACGGTTGGAGATATTCGATCGACGCGTTAGACGATAATGGTAGTGACATCTACCGGTATTTTTTAGAACCACTGAGCGCACGAAAAATCGTCCGTCGGCGCCTGTGGTGATGAATTATATCGTTAGATAGCGCTGTCAAACACGATTTGTATTTTTTTAAATTATTTTCTATTTATAAAATTACATTGTTTAGTGTGGGAAAATGATAAAAATATCTTTTGATCGAAAATTAATATTTTAAAAAACTAAAATCTGTTGTAACTTGTCATTTCTTAGATTCTTTTTGAGATTTTTGTCGATAAATTAAAATAAAATAATCTAAAAGTTCAATTTATTTTGAAGTTCTATGAGAAAATAATACGTTTTGTGAAACGAATATGATAACGTTTCAACGTACCTTTTGTAATTTTTTATGGTTATATTTTGTCGTTAATTTAATCCAGGCTAAGGTGTTACCTTTTGTCGAGTATCTGTAAGACGAGAGACTACATTCTTTTAGAAATTATTAAATTCTTGTCTTTGGCCATTAATTTGCATTTTTAGACAACCGTACAAAGTACAAATAGTACAAATTACATCATTATATAAATTTCTGGTTACAGAAACACCAGCTCTTAGTGGTTATATGCTTTAGACCAGCGGTTCCTCAATCTCTAGTACGCGAAAGGCCGCATGGTGGTAATATAATCATCGCTAATATCAAATTTACAAATTCATTGTTCTCATTGAAAATTTGTTATTTCATTCATTAATTTATATCTTAATTTTTAAACACTAATAAATTTGCTTTGATAAATAAATAATAATTATATTGTAGTACTTTATTGCAATTTTATTTAAAATAAATGTATTTAATTATGTAAATTTTGTATCGTTTTATTTTTAATCATCAGTGGTACGTAACTGATTGATAATATACTTAAGTAATACGAGAAAAAAAAGTTTGAGAACCGCTACTTTAGACTATTTCAAAAAATTTTCAATTGCGAACACGACATTATTGTATCTATTGAGTTCGGGTAATATCATTAAATCAACTTCTATTCGTTTAAACGCCTAAACATAAATGATAGAATTATTAAACATTTATATTTACGATATTTATGATACAAATTAATACAACTATAATACTATAATTATTCGTTTAAAACATATAAAATTAATGAAATCAACTTAGTGGTAAAAAAAAAAAATGTACATTTTACGTAGGTACCTATAGGTATTCTATGTATAACCATAGACGTGTGCCTGGGCACCTTCCGACATATAATGAGACCCTAAAATTTAAGTTCTATAGCATATACATTTATCATAAATGTAATGGGCTCGTATTTTAACTGATGTTACTAGTATAAAAATGCAATTTTATATAGATATAAACTATATTGTAAAAAACAAATTATGTAATATGTTTCAGGATAAAAAAAGATAATAAAATGTAAAATATTTTAAATTTACGCGGAAAAAACTTTTTATAAACTTATTAACAGCTAAATTTTATTGATTTTTAAAGTAAACGTTGCAAGTGTAAAGCAACGCTTGCATATTCTTTTCGAAACCCATTCCAGTTAGTTATTGTAGAATATTAGATTATTTTCCACATGAAGTTAATTGAAGAAAATTCTCACGATTGAAATTTTAACTGATGAAATTTAGACATGTTATATTATTATGTACAGAAAAATTTTAATTCCTTTATGGTAACACTGCAGTGTAGAAAAATTTCATTGTAACACAGTAGTCACCGCTTATTAGATTCATTATAGCACTGGAACTAATAAATATTCATTAAACATTTATAACGTATTTATTTATTTATTTATGAATTTTAAATATAATTTGTCATTCATAAAGAATAAAAACATTCAAATCGATAATAATACAAGCATGATATATCATTTTTTTTTTTCAAAAACGTTTAGTTATGTCACGTAAAAAAAAATAATATTATTTTCTGTAAAATATTGGTACTATTTGTGGTGATGTGTCGAGAAAATAGTATTAACTGTTGACATGCATGGGATAAAATGGGGAAAAAGGACTAAAAAATATAGAAATATGTTCCTTAAAAATATTCATTGACCTCAAATAACCAGAATAATGAGTGTAAATAAAATAGTTTTTTTCTACGTATCGTCGTATCGGTAACCAACACGTGTAAATTATATTGGGACAAGCCTATATTATGAGTGTAATGGACTAATTAACATGATTATGTTTGTGCGTTCGCACTGTTCATAGTTGTCCCGACAATGATGACAATCCGATTGTAAACTCCGCAAAAAAGGGTAAGTTCGTATTGCATTTATTATTAGATCAAGAATAAAGTTATTTTGTAAAATAAACTTAATTTAAACGTTTTAAAAACACTCGTTTCATTTCCAGATAAAATTTAATAGTTGGGATTATAATCATTATTTTCATAAATTTTAAGTTTTTGTTTATGTTATAATATAATATATATTCTATTTGATTAAATTATTTTTCGTAGAAATTCTAAAAATTGAAAATTGAAAACGTAATGAATAGAAGATAGAACAGCACTGTATAAAAAGATGTGTTATTTAAAAAATAACAAATGTTTTTTAAATTCAGTTTCCTATAATTATTTAGTTACTAAAAAAAATATCAAAAAATAGTAATAATTTGGCAACTTCAAAAAACGTTCAAAAATAATTATATTATGTTACATTTATAGCATATTGTACATGATGCGTATTATATTAAAATAATTGTCAGTCCTATAAAGTTCTAAGTCTGTAGGTATGAAATAAGTGTTTTAAGTAAGTTAATATCGAGTATTTTTTAAACATTTTTGCTGAAACACCTTTTTTCACCCGAGTGCAATTCAATCATTTAATTTTGGTTAAAAGTGTAACTCGACCACCCACGCTAAAAATACTATGTTTATTACATCCTATAAACGTAGGACGTAATACGTCATCGTGTAACCTTTTTTTTGATTTATCTAGTCAAAAATCCAATGACTATAGAAAATG